CGCTCCTTCTCTCTCGCCCACTTCAGCTCCGGGCTCTCTGCAGACCTCCTTGCACAAGTCGTTGTGGCAGCGCTTCCGCATGGCTCACGCAGGAATGAATGCATGGCTGGGCGCTGCCTCTTGATTTATACTTCTGAAACTCGGTGGTCTGCCGCTTTCCATCGGCCCATGGTGCTCACAGTCTCTCGTGGTACTTGCTGGACCGGACTGGGACTGACTGGACCTTACCGCTGACTGACTGTGGACTCACTGCTAACCTTCCGTAGTGGTACTGCTATTGCACTGCAGTTTAGTCCACCACTTGACTCACCACTTGCCCACTTGCCCACTTGCTGACCTTCTAGAAGGACTACAGCTAGGCTTCTGGAACTCGCTAAGACTCCTACTTTATAGATCTACAGATCGAACCCCTGCTTCCTATGGGACCCTTCGATAGACTACTAACTGTCACAAATACACAGGTCGCAGGTTCAACTCTCGAGGTCTACACAGGTGGGGTGAGGTCTAAGGATCGAGCCCTTGGATCTGCATCTGCTACTGCAAAAAGGTGAAAACCGTTTCAGCGCCGTTGCTGGGGATAACGGCAAACTACCGTTGTCCCTGGTGGAACGACACTCGGGGATGGAATAAGTAAAAGATTATGCTTTAGTGGTTGGCTAAGAAAAAAGGTTAGTAATCTTTGAACTTCGACAAGTATAAGGAAGAAACCTTAATAGATGCCGCCAAACTCCTAGACTGATTTTTTTGGTATTGTCTTGGTCTCTAGATGGACGGGGCCGCATGACGTCACGATAACGTTGACGATGGGAGGAACGACATTCAAGAATTGGCGCGGGTTATTCGCCAGTCGCAGCGAGAGCCCTATCCCAAGATTGACGTTCCGCTATTCGATGGAAATCATGCCTCCTCTTGGGCTGATAAGTTCGAACAGTTGGGATATAGCAACGAATGGACGAACGAGAAGATGCTTCGCATGGTCAAAAGGTACTGCAAGGTGGAGTACCGGGACGAGATCGATGAGCTGGTGCGAATCTCCCGAGATTGGTCAGATTTCAAGACGCGGTTGCTGGAGAAGTACCAGCTCAACGATCGGTTGCTCGACCTGCAGGATTTGAGGGCGGTGGATCGTAAAAAGTTTGGTACTACCAAACAATTTTTATCGGAATTTGAGCGTGTGGCTCGCTTAATCCCGGATTTATCCAACAAAGATCGTTGCCTCATCTTCCTAAACAACTTCAACGACGTCGAGCAATCGAAGTTAGTTGAAGGGATGCAAGGGAGGTAGACTGGACTAAGGTCCGACATAATGCGCTGGTGGGGAAGTTTGATGATATCCTCTACCGGCTGTTGAGGCAGCAAAAGGAGGAGCGAGAAAAAGTGAAGCTGGGAGAGGTGAAGGATAGTGAAATTTATAAAACCTTGACCTGCATGAGAGAGATGATGGAGGGCATGAAAGAGGAAAGGCTGAAGCTTCAAGTCATGCTGGTCAAAGAGAAAAAGAGTAAGAGGAAGGGGAAAGAGCCGGTGGCAGAAGAAAGTAGTAGTGAGAGCGAGGAGGGAGAGGAGTCGCCTCGTAAATTGACAAAGGCGGAGAGGAAGGCCTTGAATCGAATTCGAGGTGGACAGGGGACCTCCCGTAAACAGGGGAGGAATGGTGGACAAAATAATCAAGGAGGGAATGGCAGTGCCGACGGTGGTTCGTTAGGACAAAGTTCCCAGGATCAGGGGCAGTTCCAGCCGCCGGGCGGACGAGGCCGCGGTAAGGGACAGCGAAATCGTGGGCATGGCAGCAGGAGGCCACGTGTAACTATTGTGCAGAAAAGGGCCATATTATGCGGTTTTGTCAGCTCCTATCAAAAGATGAGAAAGAAGGGATAGTCTTAACCACGATACATGGTGAAGTCTTTGATTACGAAGGGAATCTGATCGACCCCAACACTGAAGGGGGTATGAGGAAGGAGGCGTTTCGTCGAATGGGCTGTTCCCTTTCGACGACGTTCCGGATCACTTCCCTTGAAGAAGCGTGGTTGGCCGAGGTCGAGGAGACCATGGCATCGTTGCATATTAACGACTCGCCGGTGGAGCCGGAAGGATTTAGGGAGCAAGTGGCGAAACGAGCGCAAACCATCACGAGAAGGCTTGCCCAATGCCGGGACTCCATCATCCAACTTTGCGTGGACGTGGAGGAAGTCTCGCCTGGATTGCCGAATGTCTTTCTCTTTGGCGAATGGGGTGATAAAAGGGAAGATGCGACCGGCCAAACAGGGACGTCTGCGCCGAGAGAAGTACTGCAAACCACACCAATGGTAAGCACAATGCGACCCAGGCATGTGCTGAAGAGAAGTGCCCCGACTATAGCTGTTCAAACTCGGATGCGGCGACGAAGCGAGCAGCTTCAAAAGGAAAGAGGGCCTGAAAAGGCAGTGGAAGAAGAGCCTATCCCCGTTAGTGAGAACGATGAGGATAACGAGGATGAGAGGTTGCGGGCCGAAGAGGAAGAACGGGCTCGTCGTCGTGCACTGGAAAGGGAACCTGAGAAAGGGAAGGCTGAGGTAAGTGAGGAGGAGCCACGAAAGAAGAAAAACATTTATTCGATCCCCGTGGAGCAGGGGATCGATATTGAGCGACTTGTCGATAAGATCCTGGAGAGTCAGCGCGACTTGGTCATGCTGAAGGAAATTTTGGCGGTGTCGAGAAAAATTTAAACAGCGAATGACTCGCAAGAGAGTCATGACAGTTAAGCTCGGCAAAGTCATTCCGCCGGAAGCTAACTGGTCCCCACCTGGGATGAGGATGGATTGGCGAAGTGTGTCGACCGAACATATAAAGGTCCAGATTGGACAACAAGAGTACTCGACACTCGTGGATGATGGGGCCGAGATGAACATCGTTCGCGAGCGCCATGCCATCGAGGCTGGGTTGAAGATCAACCGAGACGACTACGGGTTTTTGGTGGGAGCTAGCGGATCGACTCCATTCTGCGAAACAGCCAGTGGCGTTCTCGTCACGGTCGGAAAAGTCAAGATCCGTTCTTATTTCTACGTGTTACCTAGAGTGGAACACGAGGTGCTTCTCGGAAGGGCATTCCTATGTCAGTCGAAAAGTATCATCATTAACAAGCATGATGGAACCATGTTTGTGATCCTTTGCGATCCTGTTTGCGGGTACTACTACGAGGTGGTCAAGTGTGCGAACACTGGACCCTATTGCTCGCGGAACCGGCTGAATCCGAAATCGTATACCTTCCCGGAGTCAGAAAAGTTGAGAAGGGAAAAAGAATCGTTAGAGGAGGAGCCGAATCCTCGTGAGTTATCGCTGACCCTGCCTGATATTGGGCAGGCAATCGATTTTGTGTCGACACATGCGGCGATCGATCCAAATGTGGTGCAATCATTGACGAAGATCATCACGGACACCGGAAGCGCAGGAACTATGCGCCTTGTTTACTCCCCGTCGGAGGGGAATGGGGGAGAAGATCAGGGATTGCCCTCCACTCGACAGGGTCCTTTTTTAGAGGACGCAGGCTTGACACCGGCGCCAAACGTAAGTACAAGAAAGAAGGCGTGAAGGCGAAGCCGGTACCTGTTCTGATCACTCAAGAGGAGGAAGTCCATTATCGTGAGGAGCGTGAGTGGATCAGAGAAATGAAGGAGAGAGGCGAAAAAGGGCCATGTAGGTTAACTAAAGAAAGAGTGGACAATATGATCATTGGGGAGGAGGATCTTCTTACTGAGCAGGAAAAGGGGTATATCATCGATATATTGAGGGAGGAACATCTCGCCTATGCATTTGATGATGATGAGCGAGGAAGGTTGGATGTTGATAAAATCCCGATGATCAGAGTTCATATTGTACCACATGAGCCATGGAATGTAAGAGGGCCACATTATCCGAATCTGGAGGATCACCGTAAAGTGGTCGCGTATCTTGATGGGAAGATCCGAACAAAGGTTGCAGATTATTCTTACGGGCCGTATGCATCTCCATGGTTCTATTTCATCAAACCGAATGGTACTCTGCGATGGATTCAGGACCTTCAGAAGCTGAATTCAGTGACAGTGCAAGATGCAGGTGGACTCCCACATGCAGACCAACTGTCGGAATCTTGTGCAGGAAGGTCTATCATCACCCTGATCGATTTATATTCCGGGTATGATCAATTTCCCATTTACACTGCGGATCCGCCGAAGATGGCAATGCACACTCCTCGCGGGTTGATCCATATGTGCGTGGCACTGCAAGGGTGGACGAATGCAGTCGCCATTGTTCTGAGATATATGATAAGGGTTATGCAGCCTTATTGTCCTGACATAACTTCGCCATATATTGACGACTTGGTTGTCCCAAGGTCTCGTACGAAAGACCTGACGGAGGTGTTGTCGGGCATTCGCCGCTTTGTCTGGGAGCACATCAATGATGTGTTGAAAGTCCTTAAGAGGTTGAAGGAGTTTAATCTCACAGCTAGTGGGATTAAGTCTCGACATTGTATGAAAAGAGCAGTGATTTTAGGATTCCTCTGCGACGAGAAAGGTCGTCGTCCGGATGTGAAGAAAACTAATAAAATCTTGGAATGGCCGACCCCTTTCAAGTGGATCACAGATGTGCGAAGTTTCCTTGGAACCGGTGGATTTTGGCGCATCTTCATCCGCAGGTTTGCTGCCAGAGTGGAGCACTTGCAAAAGCTTGTGCGCAAAGGCCAGAAGTGGGAATGGGGTCCGAAGCAGCAAGCGGTCGTGGAGGACATAAAGACTGAGTTTCGTGAGGGCGGATTGATCCTTGGAGTTCCTTTCTTTCGACGATGATAGGCACCGTCCTTTTGTTATTGAAACTGATGCGGGGCCCACAACCCTACGAGGGGTCTTGATTCAAAAGGATGCTGAGGGGCAGGAAAAACCTCTCAGATTTGAGAGCAGGACTCTGAATGCTGCTGAGAGGAACTATTCCCAGTTTAAGAGGGAAACTTTGGTTGTGCTTCATTGTCTCCATATCTTTCGGAATTATGTGTTCGGTAGACGCTTCATCCTACGGGTGGATCCGACTGCATTGACTCAATCCTTAAGGAATTATTCACCTGCTGATCCCACCATTGCACGATGGTTGACTTGTATTTGGATGTTTGACTTTGAAATTGAGCGAATTTTGGGGAGTCAAAATCGCGCAGATGGGCTGAGTCGGGTTAAATGGCATCCAGAGTCGGATCAAGCAGAAGAATCAGTTCCGGTCGATGCGTTTCTGAAGGAAGAAGAGTCACTGTTGACTCTTAATTCTCTTACCTACCTGACTGATGAGACCACTCGACATGGGAGATCGATATGGAATGCTCCTACCTATCACGAGATACGGTTAGAGCTCGTGACGGAAGAGTCTTTCATTGAGGAGGACCTATGGGGCGAGCAGACCTCAGAAGAGATAATGAGGTTGGCTTTGACCGATGACATCGACCTTGTGCTTGATCCACTGACAATTGAACAGGGTCATAGCCAGGCGGATAACACTTTCCATACCGTTGGAAGGATGTCATTCATCATGAACTTGTTAGTTCATGGAGATCGCCTGAGGTTAATGAATGCAGATGAAGGAGGCAGTGAGGTTAAAGAGGCGTTTCAGGAAAAGGAGTACGAAGGGGAATATAAGAAGATAGGCATGTGGTTGAATGGGGAATTGGACGAAAGCGAGGTTGATCCAGTTGTGCGGGAGAAAAGCAAAGGATTTGTTGTTCGTGATGGTCATCTCTTTAAGAAAGTTGTTGATGGTGTCCCTAAGAGGGTGGTATGCGGAACCTCCAGACAGTTGGATGTGATTGTTGCTCTGCATGATGGGGTAGCTGGGGGACATAGATCTGCGTGGGTAACCCTGAACAAGATCCAACGTCTTTATTTCTGGGATGGGATGAACAAGATGGTGATTGACTTCTGTAAATCTTGTTTTCCTTGCCAACAGAGGTCTAATATTCGCTACCTCGAACCCCTAAATCCACGCTATGTGGCAGAACCGGGTGCGGTGGTGCATTTGGATCTCTTAGTAATGCCACTTGGGATAAATGGGTACCGGTATATCTTTGATGCAAGGGACAATTTGACTGGGTTCGTTGATGGTCGTGCCATTCGTGAACGTACTGGGTCAGTCTTGGCAGAGTGCATTGAGGAATATTACCTCCATTATCCATTTGTTCAGGAGATTGTTATGGATCGAGGAGGCGAGTTTCGAGCAAAGGAGGTGCAAACGCTTTTGAAAAGACTGGGGGTGAGTTTCAATTATACGACGAGAGCGCATCCCCAGGCCAATGCACCAGTGGAACGAGGACATGCCACCTTGTCTAACTTGTTGGCTAAATGGTGTAAGGGGGAACCTTCAAGATGACCAATTTATTTGAGGGCGGCCTTCTTCGTGGAGAATGTTACTATCAAGCGAACAACTGGGTATGCTCCCGTCACATTGTGGTTTGGACGACATGCGACTTTTCCAATTAAGAGTTTCCTGACCACTTGGCAGAAACAGGATGTGGAAACGAAACTCTCGACGGAGGAGTTGTTGGAGTTAAGGGCAAGACAGATCATGGTAACGGAAGAGCGGATTGAGGATGCGACTGTGTCTACTTCTGAAAGTAGGCAAGCTGACAAGGAAAGATGGGATAAGAGGCCACGTGTACGAAAAAAGCCGCTGGAAGTTGGGGACATCGTCTTTTTGTATGATATGTCGTTAGAAAAGCAGCGGTCCGAGAAACTAGACAGTCGGTGGTTGGGACCATATCGGATCACTAGGAAAACAGAGCATGGGGCATATGAAATAGAAGAATTGGATGGATCTCGGAGTAGGAATTGGGTATCAGGTGCACATCTACGGAAGTTCATTCCAAGAGTTTAGCAAAAACTTTTAGTAGAAAGGAAAGGGGGGGGGGAGGTAATTGGTGGCATCAATTTTGGTAATTCTTTTTGCTTTTGTATTGTGGTTCAGTTGGTTCTGACTTTTGTCTTAGGCTAACCAAGGAAGTAACTTTTGGGTGATAACTGCAATCACAACTTGTGAGGACAAGTGGGGTATTTGTGATTTCAGTTCGTGATTAATTGTCAACTGTTAATAAAAGTATTGAGATTGAAAGGTTATGAATGAGATTGTGACTCCTGTTGTTTTGTTAAGAAGTAATAATGAATTTGTGCTTACTATCATAGACGATTGTAAGATGACTATGATATTCTCCTCACAATTGTCGCTATGCATAAAAGGTATTGGATATTGTTTGTAAAGTAAAAGAGTGATACCAAAGGACTTTGTGAGATTCTTATCATGATTGGATGTTCATTCAAAGAAGTGTATTGTGAAATAGCTGATGGATACTTATATTGTTAAAGTATTCATCACAGATATGAAGGACTGGAAAACCTGGAATTCTTATGAAACTTCGTGTATGTAGTTATGAATGTGAGATTTTGTAAGTACAAGTCTAAGGAAAATGATGTGTACTTGGGTTATATGCCTGACTGGATTAACATGCGTGTTATTCGTCAAATATGTGATTCGATTATTTATCTTACCTTATGACTTCGTTTTGTGCTAATTGTCATGCGGTGAGGAATCCTAATGTTGTGAGCCCCGTAGACGGTAGTGAGGCCTGCGCCGAAACCTTGTTCCTGGTCCATAGTGGGATGTTGTCGTCTTTCCTTTCGAGGAGAGTGACTACACTATCGTCGAAAGGGAGGAAGGTGGTAATATGTTTGTTGGAACCTTGCTTGTGAGGGTGACGATTACTGCTCGCCATGAGGAAAAGATTGATTACCTTTTGTTTTATGGTGAATGGGGTCACCTCGACTTTATGGCCGGGTCTTATCAGCTTAGGTCATAAGGGAGGGGTAGTTCAACCTTGCAGGTAGGGAACTAACAAATGTATGAAATTGAAATCGGAGGGAAAGTGGTGAGGCTCGAGTCTAAAGCGGGGTTTGACGTCGAGATGTTATCCTTTATGGATTACACCACTCCTCAACGCATTCACAAGACATGTAGGAGATAAGTCATGCATGATGATTAAGTTGGAGTGGGAATCAGCCAGACTGGACAATGACTTTTGGAAGGATGATTTCTCTTTGGGATGGTGCCGACACATGCTATAGTATAGTGTGAGTATCCTTGTGTTTTGTGGGAGGCCCAAGTAAAACGCCTGGCAGCGAAAGACATGCTGAGGTGTTGGGAATGTATCCCCATAAACATGAGAGACCCAGGTTAAATTCCTGGCAGTATAAGTTGTATGATGAAAGACCCGCAGGGGGTTAAGCCTGACGAGACCTAGACAGGGGGTTATAGCCTGAAGAGAGTCCCATCCGGGGGATAAGCCTGACCCATCTATAAGAGACTAAAAAAAGAAATGAGTGGCCACCAGTGGGATGATGTTGGGATCATTCTTCTAAAATGTTCTTGGTTGCCGGGGATCGAACCCGAGTCTCCTGCGTGACAGGCAAGGATACTTACCACTATACTCAGGTTGGGTAAAGCCAACAGTGGATTCCAGATTCTGGGGAAAGGCCGCCAGAGGTTATTTCTGGCCCTATTCCAACTCGTGAATGATTGAAAGTTCTTTCAAAGGAAGGTTCGAAAGAATTGTAAGGCTTGAAAGTAAGCCCTTCTTGTTGATGTTATCGTAAGTAATGGAGTCCGCACGGAGTATTTCATAAAGAGTGTCCGAAAAATTATAAAAGGAAAGAAAGGCGAATGGCGGAAACATCGCTCGTCACGTATGAGTATGTAAAATCCGGATTGATTCCAGATGTATTATGATTATATGACATATTTGGTGAGATCTTATAAAGACTTTTTCTTGTATTGCCTTATGTTTAGCGACGGGGACGTCGCTTAATGGGGGCAGGGAAGGCTGTCGGGATAGAAACCCCTGTGAGGGTTTCTGCCCGAGTGTTTCAAGGTCGGACGCTGTCCGACTCTTTTTCGCTGGATTAAGAAACTTGATGAGACTGACGTTGCCAAAGTTTATTCAAACCAACCTAAAATGCTTGAAGTTGATGACGTTGAGGCATGATGACGGTAACGTTGCTAGCATTATTGATGTCGTTGGCACCATCGACATGCGGTGACCTTAATGTAGGGCGCAGTTGACATCCAGTTGAAGCAGCAATAATGGAGGGAATCACCATTGGCCGCGGCATTCGACAGAGCCGTAGTCGTGTGCGGCAGTGGGGATATTGGGATTAGACCCACACCACCTCAAAAGTGGCGCGCACGGCCATAGGCCGCGCAATTTTCAGACTTGGAGGGGCTCCACAAGTGAGCGCGTCGTGTCCATAGTGGTGGCATGCGTGCTAGGTCGGCGGGATGCCACCATGCGGATAGCGCAGCGCGCGGTCTTCAACTGGGGACGTTAAGGGGTGCGGGCAAAGCCTGTGTGAGGCCATGTAAGGGTATGAGGGGCTGAGCTCTTCATATAGAAGAGCAGCTCCTATTCCTGTGTGGAATAGGAGCCAGCCCGGTAGGTTACACCATTAGACTTTCACCCTGCAGACGCATGGATCAAATCTGTGCGCGACTCTGGGCTGGCTCCTTTTGGAACAGCCCATACGTCGCGGCCTAATCTCGGCCACCGAGGGGACTCGAACTCGAGTCTGTATTTCAACAGTTCGTGGGCATGCCATGATGGGACGTGACTGTTGGCAAAGCCAACAGAATAACAAAAAAAAAAAAAAACTGAACTAAAACTTGCCTAAAGCGCCACTTGGCGCCCTTAGAAGTGACTGGGGCGTTTCAGCCCCAGGGCATTTGACAGTCACCCGTGAAAACGGGCGACCGCTTTTCTGCAGCAGGTAAGTATGTCTTTTCCTTCCTTTTTTTTTTTTTTTTTTTTTTTAGATTTCTCTAGATATTGCTTGTTAGATTTTGTTTAAATTTTCTTTTCTTTTCTTTTTGTTGTTCTTTTTCATCTTCTTGGTGCCTTGATGAAGCACTAAGCACCCGTTCGTTTCGTACGAACGGGTCGTAAAAAAAAGAAGAAAAAAAAAAAGCTTGTCTATGCTAGACTGTTTCGTCGGACTCACACGGACTCATCAGGGGGCTGTGCCCCGTCGGCTCATCTTTGGGTGAGCAAAATCGAATGAACATGCCGCCATAAGGCGGCTACGTTCAAGCGTGGGTTTTGGGAACTTGTACTTGAGTTATGAGGGACTCTCTGCACACACTCGAGGTGGTTTCCCGATCGTGAGGGGCGGCGTGTTGATTTCTGGAGGTCGAACGGACGTTTCTGTAACATCGTTCCAGCCTCTAGGCGCCTGTACCTGGCACGGTAGGTGGCCAGGTATGGGCGCATGTCGCTGTAAGATGGAAGGAAGACCCTCTAAACTGGACTCTAGTTCGACTCTATGAAATGACTGAGAGGAGGGGGCGGCCGTTCGTTTTGAACGGCGAGTTGCCCCCTACACAGGGAAATAAAGGGGTAAAGAAAAAAGAAAGAAAAAAAAAGAAAAGAAAAGAAGAAAGGAGGTAAGGGGGAGGAAGAGAAGAGAACGGCCACGAATCTGGTCGCAGTCGTCAAGAAAATGCAAGAGTAAGTGGGAACAGAAGAAGGGGAAAAGACTGAGGAGGAAGAGGAAAGGAAACGGCCAAGTATGTGACCGCAGCCGTGAGGCAAGTACAGACAAAGAAAAAAAAAAAAAAAAAGAGGGAAAGGGAAAAGCTGCGCACCTGGCTGTAGGTGCAGCACAGGTCCACACCCTGAGGGAATGGGAAGGACAGGTGCCTGTTCAAGATGAACAGGCTCCTGCACATGGCTGGATTCAGCCAATTTAAGGCCGCATCCTGCTTGAATGACAGGCCAGGTGTGGTACCTGAGCCTGGGACTGGTTTTCTCCACCCAGAGATCAAGTTCCAGCCCTTGATCGCGATTCAGATCAAGGGCTGAGCTCAGATCCGAGTTTTGGCTGAGGCAAAGTGGCTGCCTCAGCCACTTCCTTGGCTATCAAAGCCAGCCTCCAGCTCCAGCAGCTAGGCATTCTTGGCAGCAGTGCCGAGCTCTCATTTGAGAGGATGCTGACCGACTGCTGAGAGGATGCTGACCGACTTCTGAGAGGAGAGGATGAGCGGAGCTGCTGGCGGCGAAGGTTGAGGACTGCAGGAAGAAGGGAGAGGTGGCCATAGCTGTGGAAAACAGCCATAGCCGATGTCTCCACGAGGAGAGAAGAAGGAGGCGCTGGAGGTCTGCAACGTGCGCGAGGTGGAGCCTGTCATAGCCACCACCTTGGTGACAGTGGAGCATGAGGGAGATGCTGCACGACGTTTTCAACGATGTCATCTATTTTTGAGTGTTGTCTGTGCAACGTGACGCCGGTGGCCATTTTTTTTTTGAGTGACGTGCAGGGGAAGTGTTGCCCGTCCGACGCGGCGACGACATCCATTATTGGACCAGTACGAGGGAGGTGCAATTCGCTTGGCGTGGAGACGGTGGTGCTGTCGGCGGTAGTGCGGAAGCACTGCCAAAATTTTGTGGCCACAACGAGGATTTGTCGGCGGTAGTGTGGAAGCGCTGCCAAAATTTTGCGGCGACAACACCGAATTTGTTGGCGGTAGTGCGGAAGCGCTGCCGAAATTTTGCGGCGACAGCATTGGGTTTGACGGCGGTAGTGCGGAAGCGCTGCCGATTTTTTTTGCGGCAACGACACTGGTTTTGGTGGTAGTAGTGCGAAAGCGCTGCCGGTTTTTTATGGCGGAGGTGGCAGTATTCTTGCACTGACTATATTAAGTGGCGACTGGGCATTGGCACAGGGAAGGTACCGCAAAGTGGTGGTGCGCTTAAAAGTGGTGTGAGTGCGACGCCGTAGTGGCACAGTGAAATTGGGGTTGAGTGACGGAAGCGCGAAGGTGTTATTGGATTGTTGAGAGTGATAGTGTGTTGGGAGAGTGTCGCAGCAGGTGATTACTTTCAAGGGTGTGGTGTGGACACCTTGTGGACGACTTGTTGCGATGGTCTTCTTATCAAACGACGATATTCCGAATGGTCTTCCTGAGTGGGCCGTCTCTTCGACTTCACTCAAAATCAGTTAACCTGACTCAGTTCTCTTCATACCTGTGAGAACCCACACTTGCTTGACCCTGTTCTTTGAACGTTCATTGAAAAGGAAAAGGAAATGTGTGTTTGCGTGTGCGATGGGGAGTCTGACGATGATGACAAAGGATTG